CTCGAATGCAATTAAATCGATCAGAACTTCTGACAGCGGGGAGGTGGAAATGTGACTACTGCGGTTGAAATTATATTCACGTCATGCCCCTAGCCCGTGGAAAGAGATTCCCCACGGTAGGATGGTCGGTCCATTTGTCAGTCCTTAAATAAAAATTGGACCCAATAGCAAAACAGCAAAACCCTATAACGGTGGGAGTCAAGTGAAGCAGCTATTTAGCTTGTCATGCACACGACATGTATTTTGTTATGGTCATTCGCAAGCAAAAAACTGGTGCCAGTAACGAAAAGAACAGCACCCCCCTATCGGTAAGAGTCGAGTGTAGCTTTTCATGCACACGACATGTATTTTGTTTCTCTTTTGCACTCTTCGCTTATGCATGGTCAGGAACGAGGATGCCTCTAAGAATGATATGGACATAAGACTTTGTACGTCCGCGTCGACGTCTTTCCATGCTGTCATGGTTTCCATGCTTTCATTTGCTGTCCATCTATTTGTTATTCGAACGAGTTGTCATTCGGATTGCACGCCAAGGGCTTCCTATACAAGTATATAATTACGCTAAGAGCGACTCATTGGCTTTTGAAATGCAACTAAATACGAGGCCTTTTGCGGCTTTAATGCCAGGGCAGAGTGCAATAAAATAGCACTGGTAAAATGATTTGCATAAGCGCACACAAAAAACCTAAAACTATCCATTAACCATTACCCATCGTACCCATCCATCATCACTCATCATTTTGGCTAAAACTACACAATCAGAATCACAATCTTGCTACACAAAATATAGACCCTGTGGGATGAAATGAATGCTCCTCTGTGCTTTGACAATGCTTTTTGTGAGTGCAATTATTTTGTAGTTATTAAGACAACTGCGAAGCCCAGCAGGGGAATGAATGAATGTGATGCGATGTGATGTGGTTATGTCTCTAAATAAACGCGATAATCTTCATCATCAGAATGCAGTCATTGGGAACTACTCCCATTTGTTGTGTGAAAGCTGCATGCAGTATTACTTACGAGTACAATGATATAAATGCTTCAAATTTCAATAAATAATATTAATTGTTTGCTTCGAATCAAAATCAATTGAGAGTCAACCAAACAACTCAATTAATGAATAACATCTCGAGCTTAGAACTAATCTTCGAGCATGAAAATTGCAACTCCGCCTTTGTTATTTTGTTTTAAATAAAAAAACCAAAAACAAAATCAAATTTTTAGCGATAATCGATTTTTGCAAACATTTTCTTTCGTTAAAAAATTCTTCTGGCAAATGCGAACCAAATCTGCCCAAGCTCATGCCCAATTTAATTACAACTAAATGTGCAATAAGCAAATCAATATTTATAATTATATCTAAATATGCCTGAATGTAAAAATGTATGTAAAAATGTATATATGGATATATATAGAATTTCCCACCCACTACTGGGAGCTCGAGTTGCTGCTGATCGTCGTTGATGCGTGACTTGTCTGTAGTTAGTCTGGGTTCGGGGTCTCGTCATGAACTTGACACTGGAAAATTATTTATTTTCGATTCTGTAATGGGTTGATGGCTCAGCAAAGTGGCACAAAAATAAATCACAAGAAGAACGTGTCGATCCACAAGGTCGTGGAGTGGCGTATAAAAGCCAAGAAATGGCTGGCCAGTGGCACAGACAAAGAACAAACCCACAAGATGATGCGACCAACGATGTTAGCAATGATCGGATCGCTGCTGCTGGTGCAGAGGGACTGCGTGCTGGGGCAGGGCTTCGACCTGACCAAGATCCTTGCGAGTCGGAGCACAGAGCCCATTTGGACTGTGATGGTGCGCCAGCTGCCGCAAGTACAGGAAATGATCGACACCGGCCGCAAGGAGTGCATTCAGCAGATGAAGCTGCCCAAGGATCAGCGCCCACTGATGAAGGTGTCCAATCCCAGTGAGAAGGAGAAATGCCTCATCGAGTGTGTGCTCAAGAAGACCAAACTTGTGAGTATACAGCGGGAGCAATAACAAGACAAAGGATGATCGATCAATCGTTGCACGCTTTAGATGGATGACAAGAACAAGCTGAATCTGGGGCAGGTGGAGAAGCTGACCAGCCTGGTGACACAGGACAATAAGATGGCCATCGCGCTGAGCTGCAGCCTGGCCCAGACCTGCAATCGCGCCGTCACCACCAAGAGTCCCTGCGAGGCGGCCCATCTGCTCAATCAGTGCATCAGCCGCCAGCTAGAGCGGAACAATGTCAAGCTGATTTGGTAGTCAGATCCTGTTTATCCTTTCTTACTGTTTCCTGTTTCCCACATGCTGAACTCTGTGTTGGCTTTGGCTGTGCGCTTTATTTGTCGTCTGGGACACCACATCAAGTTGTGTGTTTAAACAATTAAGTTAAATTAAATAAACATAAAAAAAAAACGGAAAAAAAGGGAACGTGTGGGAAGAGACTCCCCATGTGGATGACTGGCTGTGGAACTACTCCTTGATTTCGGGTATCTTGTAGCCATTCGAGCGCATCGCTCGCAGCATGCACATGGATATGTCATGGGCCACCTCGCATCTAAAGCGAAACAAAACCAAAGCAAACAAAAACCAGATTGAAGTGATGGAAATCAAGACTGGACGCTCTCAAATCACTCACTTGTCTGTGCTGGTGACTTCATCATTGCATGCCTTGATGATGCCCGATGATTCCTTGTCCTTGTTGGGGAACATCATGTTCATCACGTCGAGGGTCTTATCCTCGCTGAACTTTAGCTGGCCCTCGGGCATCAGCTCGAACTGCTCCACCAAGCAATGACGAAAGCATTTTGTCTCGTACTTGGCCTGCGCTTCGTTCTTGACCATCTCCACAATGTGCTCTGATGAATGGGATGGGATCAGCCTGGGACTTAGACTTTTTAGACTTGGTCTTCCTTTGATACTCACCTCGCTTCGGCTGGGGTTCACAGCTCTCGCCAAAGGGTTCGATTAGCTCCACCACCTCACCCAGTGACATGGACATCTCCTCTTCCTCCCCGTCATCGGCTGTGGCCTGGCCCAACAGCCAGCCACCGGCACAGGCCAGCAGCAGCGCGAGAGTTGTCATCCAGTTGGCAGGCTGCATTATTTCCTTTCCACTTTTCTCGTTCTTCCACGTCAAAATGGACTCTGGCTAACGGCTGGTCTGTGTTTTATAGCCACTCGCTGGTTGCCATATTCCGGGCTGCTGTGGCCTTTGGCTAGCGTCGTGTCCAGTGCATCCGGTACAACCAGGTGCTAATCGCACAAAGATCGCGATTGTCGCTTGTAGATCACGATGCCATGCCTCATGCAACCACCAAGCAAAAAATTATCACTCTCTCTGTCTGTCTTTTGGGGCGGGGAACTAATATTTATTGATGCAACTAGGGGATCTGGAGATTGCACAGGAACTAACTATTGGCTGGGGGAACTAGCTACAACTAGGACTCCGTTTAGGACTCCGTTCAGGGGAACACAAAGACCTTGATGTTGGACTTGAGGCACGAGAGCAGGGCCTGAGCGGGATCACAGTTCGGGGCATTCTTCAGGCCCACAGTGGAGTCCTTGCAGGCAGCGATGCCCTGACGATACTCCGCCTTGTAGCTTTCCGGCAGCAGCACGTCCATTTGCTTTAGCGATGCCTCCACCTGGAATTTCCCCTTTTTGATCTGTGCCAACAACGAAATTTAGAATGGAAATATCATTTTGGGGTAACAATTTCGTGGAACATTACGGCCTGCATCATTTCCAGCACACAATTGATGTAGCAGTTGGTGTCCTTGCTGTTGGGTATTTTTCCATTCTTTATGCCATCGGCCACCTCAACGCTCACCTTGGGGAACTTCGGCAGGCAGACATCACGCATAAGCTTGCCAGCGGCCCACATTTGCTCCTCCGTCACCTGTCCAACATGCAGCATGTAGATCCTTATAGATTTAATCTGAGATCCTGCTTACCCCTGCGTCCGATGCTGGCACAGAGATGCCCACAGCCAGACAGATCAGCAACAGATCCAACTTCATGATCAAACTTTTGCGTAGACAAATCAACAAGTGGTGGCCAGACCTAGCCACACTCCTTATATACAGAAACAAACACAAAAGTTCCAGGCCCCAAGTAGTGTGACAAAATGACATGCAAATGATGATAGCTCTATGTATCGATTTTGGGGGTTGGCTGCCATACGCAGGAGGATGGAACTATGTGTGCAAATTCTAGTGTACTTTGTAAACCGGTTACTTAGCCGATCTTTGTTGTTTGTGGTGGATGGGGGGTATTGTAATCTATGTAATATTGTATCCAATTAATTGACCGCTTGGCACACGCACGAATGTCAGCGGACGGCACCCCAAACGGCTGGCATTCCATTCCCATTTAAATGAATCAAATCTCGAACTTTTTTATTGTGTTGCATGCAGTTCGAGAATAATAATACAAAAGCGAAACATCTTTGTCGAAATAGTCACTTAGGAGCTGCTTTAATCGAACATCTGTATTTATGTTTTTTATTGTGAAATAGCGGCGAACGGGGCAGTGAATGCTGCAGCCTTTGTCCAACTTTGCAAGCAAACAGATAAACAATCGGCAGATCGAATAACGGATCACTTCAACAGCCACACACTCGCGGACGTGCCAATGTGAGTGCTTCCCGCCACTTAAATGCACTTCTTTTTTCTCCTTTGCTTTCCGTCTTTCCAGCTGGCTTATCATCCCTCGCTCCCCACAGGTGTTGAAGCACACGCTGGCCGCCAGTCAAGGTGAATTTACATTTCCATCCCTTTCTAACGCTTGTCTTTCGGTGCGTGGTCCCCACAGCGGCCAATAACTTATTCCCCACGCTCTCTCGGCTCTGCGTTTGCTGTTGTTGCGGCAGGCAAGCATTGCGTTGCGCTGCGGCACTAAATAACTGTAGAAGGAGGAGTAGTAGAAAGAGGACTATTAGAAGGAGGAGTAGTAGGAGCTTTGATTGAATTTGTTGTTGTTTGTTTGTTTTTTGTTGGTTCCAGTAGGCCAGACATCTACACTCTCTCTCGATACACACAGCTCTACATCAGTTTGGACCCAGAGATCGTTTCGGCTTCGAATTATTCCGCACAATGTCCGAGGGCTTCAAGAAGCATTTCAATGCAACCACAGTAAATGGTCGTGCCAATGTGAGTAGCTTCACACCATTCCCAATCCCTAATATTATCCTAGCCCCCATCCTAAGGTGGCCAAGGCCACGTATGCCACCATGGCCCTGCTGTATGTCGTGTACCGCATTCGCCGGCGATCGGGCAAGAAGCCCGCTGAGGGCGGTGGCAGCGACGGCGGCAGCATACTGGCCGATGGCAGCTGCAGCTGCGACAAGGAGCGCGAACCAGCAGGCGATTCGGGTTTTTATGAGACCGATCCCGAGTGCGGTTCGTGCCGGGAGCGCTCCGAGCGCGCCATGACCGAGTACGATCGGGAGCAGCAACGCCGCTCGGCGGCCAAGGCACGGCAGGAGAACAAAAATGAATGCAAATCCGATCCGCCACCACCGTCCTCCTCGGGTGGGGCTGGCGCTGGTGCTGGTGCTGGGGCGGCGACTCCTCGTCGCAAATGCCCCTGCGACAATCCGCACCAAAAGAGCAGCAGCAACGAGGCCAAGGCCTACATGCAACGGCAACAGCAGAGATCCTACGGCTACCAGTTTCCACAGGATACTGATGATGTGCGTCCGGCCAGCGAGTTAGCGGCACAGGTACACGGGGCCATCTACAGTGTGCTGAGTGGCATTTATAACTCAGTCATGGGCAGGGGATCAGCCGAAACAGCCACCACGGCTACCACTGCCAAACAGCGACAGGCAAGCGGCGGCGGCAACTGCGTGGACACTGCGGCAGGTCAAGCACCTCCGCAGGCAGGCGACGAGGAGGATGTGAACTGCTCGCGGTACGAGGCCATGGACTGTGAGTGCGAACGGCGCACAAATCCGCGCTGCTGTGATGCTCCTTCGGACGAAGGACGAGCCCCACCAGAAGATGGCGCCAGCAACAATCGATCAGAGCAGCCGCCGCCTTATGGCTGCTACGACGAAGGCTACAACGCGGGCCTGTTCTTTGGTCAGTAAAATTACTGCATTAATAGTGGGGTGGGGGTTCGTTCCAGGACTTCTTAGCCTTGATTTTGGACATCAACTAAATTTCAAGATAATTCAAAATTAATTATAGTTCTTCAGTGAATTTAAAGAAAAAAACTACAAATATAAAAACTATTTTAAAGTTCACTTTGAGCTGGAGGATATGCCAGATTGAATTTGGAATAAGTCTGACTCTTTTGGTCCAAGAATCTAAGATCTAATGGATTCCCAATACTCGACTGATTCTTTTCGTAGAACTCCATACACAGAGCAGTGGGTATTAATCGCTTTGATATTTGAAGCTCGAACATGGATCATTATTAGATCTCTCTGCTAGATCCCTCGTTAACAATAATTATGATTCCATAAAACTAGCATAACATGTAGCATGAAACAAAAGCAAATCAATTCTCGACTCTTCTCAAACAAATATCAATCGATGTTGCCACGTACCTATGGATGGGCCTGTCTACACAAATATATTGAATGAACTTTTGGTCCATCATTAAGACAACGTGAGTTGGTGGCTTACTGAAGAAAGTATTCCCATACGTAACGTCTGTTTTTATACAAATTAAATTAACTCAGAAAATTAGTCTTAAATAATAACTGCTAAAGAAACATAAATCATAATGGAAAACTTTCTACTTTGTCTGTTGTGTATAGGATGTACCTTCCAAGTATCCTTTTGCTCTATGCAAGACATCAATTTTGTGTGTTGTGATATCGAAACCATAGCCTAGTTTTACTCATAAAATTAAATAACCATTCATAACTCTTTTGCTGTCTAATGTATACACTAACTGAAGTCTAATTTTACTTGACAAGTAGCAATTATTATACACATTTCAATTGTAATATTTTATATTTATTTAGCATTTAGTTTACGTTTTGAAATAGAGTTAACGTCGCTTACGTCGCATTTCGAACATCTCATCTCTTTTCAAATTTTAATTGGATCTTTAGCCATGGGGTTTTTGTACGGGTGCGTGTGTGTGTGTGTGGTTAGATGAGTTACACTTGCATTTGGATGTGGAATTTGTTGTGTTGGTCTAACATTAAAGCCTGGTGTATTGTTCGTATAATTATGAGATGGGGTCAGGGCTTGAACTAACATTAATATTTCGATTTATAATGTCTTAGTGGTGTGGTAATATTTTTAAATATGCAAATAACATTTTAACGCTTAGCTTTTTGGTTTCATTAACGCTTCTCAAACGATCAATCAATTCATTTTCATTTCATCGCTTCCTCTATCGTTCTCTCTTTCGCTTACATTTGCTGTCTCTATATAGCGGTCTTGCTCTGTGGCATGTGCTAATTTTAAAATAAATATATAATCTATATACTATATAGATGTATATACTATATATATATGTGTGTGTGTGTGTGTGTGTGTTATGCGTTGTGTATCTTTTGAAGGCTTCTTTTTTTTTTCTTCTATATTCTATAACTATATTTTCAGTGTAATTCCTAATAATATCCGAAAAGGAATGAGTGTGGAGTGGAGTGTTGGATCCATCTATGTATACTGTGTTACGCGTTTAGCCATCGTGGCTGGCAACCGACTCCAGGTCGCTGTTGTCCTCGCTGCCAGTCGCCTCGGTGGGTTCGCCCATGGCCACGCGCGCATACTCATCCGTATCGATGCTCTTGCAAAAGTGTATGGCATACTTGAGCTTCTCCAGCAGCACCGCCTGCACAGCCAAAGAGAATACGAATTAAATGTACCTTCTTGTGGGAGGAATCTTCACAGCTTACCTTGCAGGAGTAACGCGGCATCTTAAGCAAAAAGAAGCATGTATAGCTCTCGGGCAGGAAATGATCGGGCGGATTCTTTTCGAGCACTTGCAGCACAAAGTCACGTCCACGGAAATCGGCAATGGTGCGCGGCAGTCGCGTTCTTCCCCACACAAAGCGCAGGAACAGCGAGCGCTCCTGCAACAAGGGGGAAAGCATTACTTATAGCCACAAGGGAAATATTATCGTTGATGCTCTTACCTGATTGGTAAACTCTTCCATGACCTCCCAGAACCAGGAGACCAATGCTGAGCCCGGATCGAAGCCCTTGTAGGTGGCCACCGACTTGAGCAGTCCGAGCGGTATGTCGGGCGAGCCACAGACCATGGCCTGCAGCTCGGCGGCCGAGAACAGCGATAAAAGTGGCACTGGTATCACCTTGGACATGCCATCCCGCACCGCCTTCACCTGCTCATCGAACTCGTGCAGCCGAAAGCTGAGCGCCAGTCGGACATACTCGGCCCGATTCCGTGGCGAGATGTGCGTGTATCTGGTGGACAGCGGCACCTCGTGCCCACGCGCCGATGACGTGGAGAAGGGCAGCTCTAAGGTGTTGAACAGCTTGGCGTCATCGTCCATGTTCCGTATGCACAGCAGACCGGCCACATAGTCACGGTCCACCTCGGTGAGATCCGGTGGACGCAGCACCTCGCCCGTCAGCTGTCGCCAAACGGGTTCCGCCAGGCTGCAAGAGGATTACATACACAAGATTAAAAGAGAATCGACACATAAAATGATGAGAGAACTCACTTGATGCTCAGCGGTGAGCCTGTGCGCACGGCAATGCCCATGAGTACGCCCAGGAAGCGGAACATGTTCATTTGCAGGACGGAGCCGAGTGTGGGATCCAGCAGGAAGCAGTCGCGATTGGCACCCGCCTCGCCACGGCCATTGGGCGTGTTGATCAGCAGCGGGACGCTGCCATTCTGCAGCTCGTCGCACATTTCGGCAATGGACTCGCTGTAGCCGCCGCCACAGTCGTCGACGCTCTCGCCCACAAACTTCACCTTCCACACGCGATGGGGCAGGGCGAGCGCCTCCTGGGTGAGCAGCGGCAGCTTCTGGACCATCTGGCCGAAGACGCTCTTCATGCCATCGATACCGGCAAGGCCGTTGCAGCGGCTGCGCGAGCGCTTCACCTGAATGCGATTCAGCTCGATGACGGGGCCGTGCTGCTTGTCCCGCACCATTGTCGTCTGGATGACCTTGCGGAAGGCGGCCTCCTTGATGTTGTACACGAGCACGTCCTTGAGGGCGCCCAGGCTGAGGTCGCCGGCGATGGGCAGCATGGCCAGGCAGGGGCAGAGCAGCTCCGAGAAGTGGTGCAGCAGGATGAGGCGAGCGTGGAGCGCCTCGGGCGCCAGATCCCTCACCAGATCGTACTCCAGCGGTGGGTTGGGCAGCGGACGCAGCCGCTCGCTCAGCTGCGACGTGGACAGGGCCAGGGTGTGCGCCGAGCCGCAGGTGACCTTCACAATGTGTTTGCCCTGCAGGGCGGCCACGAGGCGCGGCCGCTGGATGGCGGTGACGGTGCCATCGCCCAGCTGGCCCTCATCGTTGTCGCCCCACGTGTAGACCTCGCCGGAGTCGCTGCAGGCGACGCAGTGCAGCGAGCCAGTGGCTATCGAGATGATCTTCTTGCCCTGCAGCGCGGCCACCTTCTTGGGCCTCCGCACATGATCCACGGAGCCGTGGCCCAACCGATGGAAGTCGCCCTTGCCCCACGTATAGACGGCGCCCGATTTGGTCAGCGCCACCGAAAACTGTGAGCCGCACTCCACCTTGATGACGCCCAGCCCTGCCAGGCTCTCGATCTTGTAGGGCAGCTTGCAGCCATCGCTGCCGCCGCGTCCCAGCTTGCCGTAGTCGCCGTCGCCCCAGCTCCACACGTTGTCGTCGTCCGTGATGCACAGCGTCTGCGCGTCGCCGGAGCCGCAGGCAATGTCAATGGCCCGATAGCCGAGCAGCGCCTCCACCAGCTGCGGTCGCAGCTGATCCTCAGAGTCTCCATGCCCGAGCCGTCCGTAGCGTCCCTTGCCCCAAGTGAGCACATGTCCGCTGGCGGTGATGGCAGCCGAATGGGCGCTGCCACAGGCAATGTCCGCCACATTCATGCCATTCAAGTGCTCCACGAGCTTCGGCCTGTCGTAGCTCATGCGATTGCCGTGTCCCAGCTTGCCGTCCTCGCCCTCGCCCCAGGCGTACACCTCGCCCTCGGTGGTGAGGGCGAGGCAGTGCTTGCCGCCCGAATTGACGGCCACCTTCTTGACGAACACATGCTGCAGGGAGCCGAGGAGCGTGGGTATGGCCCAGCTGTCGGCGCCGCCCACGCCCAGCCTGCCGCCGGAGCCGTAGCCGGTGGCGAAGAGCTTCCCGTCGGGCGTGACGGCGAACAGGGACTGCTCTCCGCCGGCCAGCTGCACGGGCCGTAGCAGGCTGAGCGCCTCGCAGGGCGTTGGCGTCTTGATGCGGCTGCCCTCCAGTCCGCCCAGCTGGCCCCGATGGTTGTGGCCCCAGCCGTAAATGGTGCTCGCTCCGCCCCAGCTCAAGGCCCAATCATCGGGCCTGCGATTGAGCCACTGCAGCAGCTGGGCATCGTGTGGTGCCTGGAACAGCGTGTGATCCTCGTGCAGCAGCACCAGCGCAGACGCCTCCGAGTGTTGCTGCTGCTGCTGCTGCTGATGCTGGTATGGGCAGTGATGCGACAGCGAGAGCTGCTCCTGTTGCTCCGCCAGCAGGGGCGGCGGCGGCGGTGTCGCATTGCTGGCCGTGCTCGAGGACAGCGACGTGGTCGAGTTGAGCATGGAGGCGAGCGGCGAGTGAGACGATTGGCTGGCACTCGGATTGGGCAGCATCTCGGCAAACTTCTTGCGCACCTCCAGGCAGAAGGGACGTGGCAGCTCCGTGCGGCGTATCAGCGATTGGGCCACACGCACTGCGATGCAGTAGCGCTTGAACCAGGCCCACTTGTGGCCATCCCCCGTGGCAGCTGCTCCGACTGTAGCTGATCCTCCTGCTGCTCCTCCTCCCAATGTAGCTGCTGTTGTTGAGGTTGCTGCTGGCAGTGAGGCATCCAACTGCATGTCGCAGGTGAGAGCTGCCAGCGTCTTGAAGTAATCCGAATGCATGAGATGAATGCCGCCACGCACTTGAGGCTCCTCGTACTCGTACTGCCGCAGCAGCTCGGGTATCAGCGGCTGCAGAATGCCCGCCAATGTGGCGTCCTGTGGCTTGGGCGCCTGCTCGAGCAGCAGCACGGCGTGCAGCTTCTTCAGCGACCAAATGCGCTGAGCGGTGGTCAAAGCGCCCAGCTGGGAGCAGGCGGCCAGCGCGGAGGCCAGGCGTATGAGCACGCCCTGCTGTGTGGGCGCCAGGCGTGAGTCCAGCAATGACATGACCAGCGCCATCGAGGGCTGCGACAACACAGCACGATCCGAGCCACTCTCGCCGAGCGTCGCCGCTGGCATGATGGCGTGCACCCAGAAGCGCCAGCCCCAGCCATTCACGGAGCTGTCCGAAGTGAATTTCCAGCGCAGCTCATCGCCGGGCACCCGTATCTCGGGCGCCCAGTGGGCGAACTCACGGCCCGAGCGCATGGCCAGCACACGGCCAGCCGCGTCGGTGATGACCAGCGGATCGTTGCGCTTCTCCGTGCTGCACTGGCTGTCGAATTCGAGGCGCAGCATCTCGGCGCCCGGTATGCGCACAGCGCCCGTCACATTCACATTGTCCACATATGGATGGCTGCTCTCCTGCATCACCGGCTTCGGCAGCTTGCCCAGGCAGTGGCGCGACGTGCACAGGTCCTCCAGCTCCGTGATGCAGGTCTCCATCAGCATCGAGCTAATCGCCGCATTGCCCGCGCCCAGCGATATCAGAGTCTCGGCTATCGTCTGCGCCGTGCTCGGCGGTCCGCAGCGACCGCAGACAGCCAGCTTGAGCAGCTCCACGAGACTCTTGGCCTCCGGCTCGCCCAGCAGGCCGCCAAAGTCATCCAGGCCGTGTGTGTGACTGATCTGGGCCAGCATCTCCTCCTGCTGCGTCATGGTGGCCGCCATCACGGACATGGCGCTGGCCGACATGCGCGAGTGTTTGTGCTGCGGCGGCAGGGCGCTGCTCGACAGCGATCCCGACATCGACAGCGATCCGGTGAGGCTCTGGAACGCGCTCAACGGTCCAGCGCTGAGTGGCGGCAGCGTGGACGTGGCAGCTGCCACGGCAATCGCTTCCATTTGGGCATCGGGACTGTGCTCCAGCTGCAGCGCCGCATCCGTGGCATCTGCGGGCGCCTCTCCGCCGCCTTGGGCTATGGGTTCGGCGGCTGGCAGCGGCATGGGTGCGTTGCCATTGCTGATCAACTGATCCTCTTCTGCTGGCGCTGTCGCTCCTCCTCCCGCGCTGCGCTCCTTGTAGTTCACCTTGCTGTGGCTGGTGAGCGCAGCCACAATCAGCTGCCGCGCCTGCAGTATGCTCATGGCGCGCAGAACATGCCCCAAGGCTGCCTGCCTGGCGGCTGGCGTCTCCAGGGCCAGGCTTTCGCTGAGGCTGGTCAGTGTGGCCGGCTTCGACTCCAGCTTGAGGGCGCCAGCAGCAGCGGTGACCTCCGCCTCGTAGATGCCCAGACTGCTGCCGCCGAGCGGATCGCGTGTGCTGCCAAACGGCACCGGTCCGCGCTTCTCCTCCTCGAGACTGGCATTGGGCAGGCCCCAGGCAATCGAGTGCGAGCTGCCGCAGGCCACGCGATTCACGAACACAGCATCGAGGCCAATGACAAGGGCGGGCTTCTTGTTGACGAACGTGTTGCCGCTGCCCTGCTGCCCGTGGTCGTTGTCCCCCCACGCGTACACCTGTCCGGCGTCCGTTACGGCCAGGCAGTGGAGAGCGCCTACGGCCACATGGATGACGCGACGTCCGCGCAGGCCGCCAATGGGCTGCGGCTTCCGCACGTGCTGATCCCCGCCATGGCCCAGGCGGAAGTAGTCGCCCTTGCCCCACGTCCACACTTCACCGGCGCGCGTCAATGCCAGCGAGAATTGTGCCCCGCACTCGATCTGAATGACACCGATGCCCGAGAGGCGTTCGATCTCGTGCGGCGTGTCCGATCCCTCGCTGCCGCCCCGTCCCAGCTTGCCGAAGTCGCCATCGCCCCAGGAGAAGACGGCCCCGTCCTCGGTGAGGGCCAGCGTTTGGGCGTCACGACTGCCGCAGGCCACCTGAATGACGCGTCGTCCGGTGAGGGCGGCCACCAGCTTGGGCTTCAGCTGTGTGGCATTGTCGCCATGCCCCAAGCGTCCGTACTCACCCAGGCCCCACGTGTAGAGCTCGCCCTGGCTGGAGATGGCCGCCGAATGCGATGAGCCGCAGGCCACGTCGCGTATCTTCTTGGAGCGCAGCGTCTCGACGAGTCGCGGCTTGTCCAGCGTCGTCCTGTTGCCATGTCCCAGCTTGCCATCCTCGCCCTCGCCCCACGAGAACACTTTGCCGTCGAGGGTCAATGCCAGGGCATGCTTGCCGCCCGAATGGACGGCCACCTTCTTCACCACATACTGATGCAGCACCGGCAGCTGGTGCGGCAGCGGCACGTTGTGCGTCACGCCGAGTCCCAGGCGTCCGTTGGTGCCCTCGCCGCAGGCATACACCTTGCCATCCTGCCCCACAATGAAGAGACTCTTGGAGCCGCCGGCTATGTGTATGGGACGAAGGCGGCTGATGGTCTGCGAGAAGGTTGGCACCTTCACCTTGGAGCCCTTGAGGCCGCCCAGCTGCTCCTTGTCGTTGAGGCCCCACACCATCACGGTGCAGGGCAGATCCTGATCCGGAGCAGTCGCCAAGCCATGATCCAGTCCATGCAGAGACGATGCTGATGCTGCTGCTGCTCCAGCTGCAGCTGCTCCTTCCGCCTGCATGCCATTGTATTCGCAGGCGAGGAACTGCGCATTGGCCAGCATATGATGGAGATCGGGCTTCTGGCGTCGCCCGACAAACTGCAGGCCGTGCACCTTGCACTGGATGCCATTGTTCTGGCACTGCTTCACCACGATCTCGATCCAGGGATAGTACGTGGGCACCTGCTGCATGAGCAGCACGCGACTGGCGCCCGCCGGCACGGGGATCCACGTGTACTCCTTCAGGCTGTCGATGCACTCGCCCACGCGAATCTCCAGCAGCGAGGGCATGTGGGAGTGATCCTCCGGACTGACCTTCAGCGCCAGACTGTGCACCAGAATGCGGTCGTGCAGCTCCAGGCGTATCCAGTGGCGGCACGGCCCGCTCGAGCAGCTCTGCCAGGTCTGGCCGAGGCCATCGAGCAGATGCTTGGCCGCCGCCTCATTCGAGCTGACCGTCAGGGAGCGTATGCAGCGGGACCAGTCCTCGATGAGATCCGTGGGCGCCGGCTGGCTCTGCAGATCGGCGGCAATGGGCGCCGGCGTGGGCGGCAGGGCGACCATTTCCACATCGTTGATGTGCCCCTGCCAGGCGGGCTGGTCGGGAAAGTCCACCGTCAGCTGCTTGCCGCGCACCGCTGTGACGACGCCGGCCTGTCGCTGTGTCCTGCCCAGTCGCATCTGATTGAAGACGCCGTAGCGAGCGGAGCAGCGCGGGCGCACCCGTGCACCCACCACGATGGGCGGTGGACGTGGCAGCAGCTGCAGATGGGCGGACAGCGGATCACGCAGCAACGAAGTGGAGCTGGTGCCCAGTGGCGGATCGACCAGCTCGATGTGCACGAAGCACACCCAATAGGTGCTGCCATGATTGCGCCAATCCACTTGGACGTTGAGATCGTGCAGTCCCTCGGTGTCCACGATCAGCACGGTGCCCATGTCCCCCTGCTTGATCTCCTCGAAGTCGCGACAGCAGCGCACCGTCATCCCGGGACGCACCAGACCGCGCACATAGAGTGCATAATGATCGGCCGTTTGGAAATCTTTTCGCGTCTCAAATCTCACCTGTGGCTGTGGCGCTGCAGCGGCCACGGCAACGGCAGCGGCAGCAGCAGCAGCAGCAGCAGCTCTGCTTCCCCCAGCTCCTGGCTGTCCCTCAACGGTGTCCGAGGAGGCGGAGGACTTGCCCGATGAGCTGCTGCTGGACAAGCTGCTGCCCTGAGACTCATTGTCCGAATCGGCCTCGGGATCGTGCGTTGTGCCACTGGCCAACGGCAGTGGATCCTCCTCAATGGTATTGGCGCACACATCCGGATGCTCGAGTATCCACTGAACAATCTGCTCGGGCGTTGGCATTATCTCCGCCTGCAGCGACAGCTGCTTCAGGGCCAGCTCCACCGTTCGCTTGGGGAAGCCCATGTCCATGATTTGATTGATCAGCTCCGCATCGGTGGCTGCCACCCGTGAGGGCCACTTGGTGGCCACTTCCTTGCCCGTGCCCGTGGCCGTGCCTGCTGTAGCCGCTGCTGCTGGTAGCTTGAACACATTGTAGACCGGCACACCGTGCACCATTGTGGGCTGTGGCGGTGTGGCCAGGGCGGGCGTGGCTGCCAGGCCATCGGCCTCGCACTCGCTGAGCTCGAGGTGCGCCTGGCTGGCCAGCGACTGGACACAGTTGAGTGCAGCCGTCGATAGATCCGTGTAGCTGTAGCAGGCACGCACCGGCGACGCTTGTGTGGCTCTCAGCAGGATGCATTGGATCAAGAGTTGCGCCTCCTGCCCACCCCTGGCGCTCGTCTCTGCCACGGACTGTTGCTGCTGCTGCAGCAGCTCCTGCTCCTGCTCCGAGTGTTCCTCCTCCTCGGCATGGTCCTGCTGCTCGCGTTCGTTGCTGCCATCCTCCACATCCGCCTCTCTGTCGCGTTCGCGTTCGCGGTCGCGCTCTCTGTCCGTGTCCGTTTCCACATCGTCCGCGTAGATGCCTGGCGCCCGCTGCTTGAGGATGCGCCGCAGTGCCGCCTGGTGGCGATACAGCACGCTGTTCGTGTGCAGGACGGCCAGCTGCAGCTGTTGCGCCCTCAAGTGGCCCAGATCTAGTCTGCCCTCGGTGGAGGCATTCATGGCAGGCGGACACTCGCGCGCCTCCGTGGCGGGGCCATAGAGCAGCACGGTCCAGGCATTCAGCAGCATCTCGTTCATGGGCAGGCGGCTGAGACTGAAGACACTGTGGTCCAGGTGCGGCATCACCGAGAGCAGCGGCACCTTCACGAATCCCATGGTGCCGGCACCGGCACCCTGGGCGGAGGCTGCCAGGAGGCATCTGCCTTTGTGCGTGAAGCTGGCAATGATCATGTGGCTGCCTTCGTTGAAGCAATGCAAACCGACGCGCGGACGCAGATCGTAGCCACCCATGGCGCTGAGCACGCCGAGCACAAAGATTTGCTCGCTGTCCAGCGGGCTCGAGGTGGATTCGCCCTGTTCGCCCAGCAGCTCGGCGGCCACGCACAGCTTTTGGGCGAGAAACGAGTTGATGACCGCATTCCAGTGGGGCAGCGTGTGCAGGCGACGCAGCAGCGAGACGAGCTCCTCGGCCACGCTGCCCGAATGGGAGGCGGTGAGCAGCACGCGGGCCTTGCCTTCGGCCGTCGGCTGCAGCGTCACATCGCCGGGACAGTGCAGGGCAATGCGTCCGAGTGTGGCGAACAATTGACGCACCAAGCTGGCCATGCGCGGCTCCTCCTCGGTTGTCCACTGCGCCAGAATGCACTGCAGCAGTCGCAGGCAATGGATTTGCCGATAGACGCCCGACTCGCTGCCCGCCGGCTGCTCCAGCAGCTCCAGATAGTGAGCCAGCCAGCCCGGAGTGCTCAGCTCCAGACACAGACGCGGACAGTCACCTGCGGACAGATGCAAAGAGAAGAGATTAAACCTCTGACTGGGGTGGATGGCTGGACGCGCAGCACTCACCCGCTATGGCTCGTATAAATCCAAGATTGAGCCAGCCCAGCGTGCTGGCGACGTTCTCCATGGCCGGCTTTGGGTCGATTATGGCGCGAAACATGCAGGTGACGCCGCGCAGGGCATGCTTGTCCAGGTGGGCGCCATGTAGGCCGCTGCCAACGGCCAGTATCTGCAGCAGCTTGGCCGCACAGTGGCGCAACAATTTCGAGGGATGCGACTCGCTGCTGGGCGCTGCCTCCACACCGGCCACATCCTCGCGCTCCGGCTCCGTGGGCGAGGCAACATTCAGGGCGCTATCCGCCAGCTGCAGATCGTACTGCCCCTCCTTGCCCATGCGATAGGAGTTGGTGGCGCCCGTGTACCACTCGACGCGCACCCATCTAAAGGGAGAGAAAGAAGAGCATGAATTGGGGATGCTTCCTGTAGCTTCTTGGTGCCATCTGCTGCTGCTGCTCCTTACCCATCCTCTCCCACCTCGCTGATGATGCGTCCCTCGCCGGGGGGATTGCCATCCTGATCGCCCCACTTCCAGTCCGAGCCGCGCACAATACGCGTGCCAATCTTCATGAGTTTGGCCAGATCGGGGCCACTCAGCTGCGTCTTGCTCGACTTCTGCTTCATCACACTGTCCTCGTAGAGGACGCTCAGCTCGGTGTTGGGCTGTGCCCCGGCCAGGCCCTCGCCGCCGGTTTGCGCCAGCAGCCCGAGCACCGTGCCCAGCAGGCCGGAGTTGATCAGCAGCCCGAGCTCGTTGGGGCCCAGCTCCTTGGCCAGCAGCCCGAAGACGCTCAGCAGGAAGCGGGCACGTGGCAAACGCTTCAGCAGCACGTAGGTGCTCAGGTTGGAGCTGTCCTTGCCGCGCGGTGCACCCTGCTGCTCCTGGTTGACCAGACGCCGCAGCTCGCGCACAGCCCAGTCCAGGACGCGCGCCTGCGAGAGCAGCAATCGAGCCTTCTGGTACGCGCTGACCATATTCAGCTGCCCGAGGACATGCAGCGAACTGCCCGATGTCGAGGCGGACGACTTTAGATGCAGTCCGAGAAAGCCGTTGAGGAGACTGTACTGGGTCGCGTCCAGCAGGCCGTGCAGCTCGAGCAGCTGCTGGACCAGCTGTAGGCCGGCGAGACGCAGCTGGAAGCGTTGCATTTGGCAGTACATGGCGCGGCGGGCTGTCTCCACGTCGCAGCTGTCCTGCAGGGCAAAGTCCACAATGTCCTGCATCAGCACATTGTCCAGCTGGCCCTCGCCATGGATCTTGCGCTCGTTGAGGCGTCGCAGCAGGCTCTCGCTCTCCTCCTCCTCATCCTCCTCCTGCTGCTGCTTCGGCGGCGGTTTCTTCTCCTGCTGCTGCTGTATGCTGGCATTCAGCAGATCCTCCGGCTTGGCCGGCTTCCGCGCTGAGCGCAGCTCCTGCAGCAGGCGTCGCACCAGCAAACGGAAGCGCGGCAACCGCTGCAGTATCTGCAGACGCCGCAGGCCCCGCTGCTGCGGACTGATGGCCGGGCGCACCTCGTAGAGGAGGAAGCGCAGACGCTCCAGTATGGGCGCGCACACCTCCTTGTAGCTGCGATTCTGCTGCTGCCGCGTGCGCACCACCGACCACTTGGCCTGGTGCACGAGCTGAATGATTTCGCCCAGCTGCTTGGGCGGTGTCGCCTCACCAGTATCCTGCGCTGCACAATCCTCGAGCGCAATCACCACCAGGCCGCCCAGATACTGATGTCGAATGAGCACGGCGCTCAGCAGGCGCTCCAGCTCCTGGACGGGATGCTCGGTGGCAAACTCCTGGTGCCACATCAAATTGTGCGCCTTGCAGTAGCGCTCGGTGAGTGCCAGCCAGGCGGCCACCGGTGGCTCCGTCAGCCTCGCCTCCGCCAGCCCACTTATGAAGCTGTCGGCACGCTGCTGCAGCTGCGATCTAACCCCTGGCTGCTGCTGCTGCTGTGTCAGCGGTGGTGGCTGAAGTGGCAAGAGGCACTGTTGCTGCAGCGCTGGTGGCGGCTGCTCCGTGGGCGTATTGCCCGCCGTGCTGTGGCAACTGTTTGGTAGGCTGCTGCGCGCCTCGCCCTTCTCCTCGTCGAAGGGATTGCTGGGCTGGAACAGCTGCAGTCCGCCACTCAGCAGCGTGCTCTTGTCCAGCTGTCGGCACTGCAACTCCGCCGGCTGCAACGCGGGACCGCTGCACATCAGATTCGCCACAATGCCCAGCAGCTGGGCGAGCGTGCACTCTGAGCTGAAGTGCGTGAGGCGCGTGGGACTGGGCGAAGCGGTCTACAGGGGGAGAGAGGAAGAGATTCATGAGCTGACTGTACGGATTGTCTGCGGCGCTGAACTCACCTTCTCCTCGATGGTGGCTTGGGCCATGTACTTGCCCAGCTTGTGATGCTGCAGTATGTGCTCCATGGCAGTTCTGTGCGCCTGCTGGCTGCTCATTTCAGCTGTCAGATCCTTGCCCAGACCCGCATCCAGCAGTGCCTTCAGCGACTCCGATTCGCAGCTGTCAAAACAACAAATCGTTAGCAGAGACTCCACTCCTCCTGCATCGCTGGATTACTCACTTGTAGCCGCTCAGATCACATACGTAGCCGGCGAGGATGATGCAGCGACTGCTGTCGAGCAGTTGGTTCTCCATGTCCGCGCGTCGCACGTAATGCGTTTCGGAATCAGCGGGCGGGGGTCCGCCCTTGGGTCCACCCCTGCAGATGATGCCGGGCCAGCCCATGTCGTCGCCATCGCGCAGTTCGCCCTCGCCCAGGGCTCGATTGAGTCGATCCAGAATGCGGAGCAGCGGCAGAAAGAGCCGCGACCAGCGCAGACTGCCCAGGCACTGGGGCCGATCCCGCTTGAGCAGCACCAGACCCACCAGCAGCTCGTGCAGCAGCGCGTCCGAGATGTCCGCCTGCAGGATGCGCGTCAGGTGGCGCGCCTGCTGGCTGGGCTGGGGATGGTCACCCGGATCGCGGCACTGCAGCGCCAGCTCGTGGGCCTGCTGCAGCGTGGACACGCAGGCGGGCACCAGGCTGTGCAGATACTGATCGAGCAGCGCCTCAGCGCCCGTGGTGTCCTCCTCGGCGGCGGCCTGATGGATGTGCGCCAGCAGCAGACGCTGAAAGCGATGCAGCAAGCTCAGGCTGGGACTGGTGCTAGGCTCCTGGGCGCCACGCTGATGCTCCAGCTGCTCCTTCTCCTGCTGCTGCTGCTGCAGCAGCAGATGCTGCGCCTGCTTGCCCAACGTGGGCGTGAAGCGGGTCTGCGTGAGGGCCGCATTGTTGCCCAGCAGCCGCGTGATCAGCTGCATCAGCGGCAGATTGACGCCGTCCACGCACTCGGCCGCACAGGAGCTGCTCTCGAGGCGAATGGCATGCTGCAGGGCGGACTCCAGACCGCCCTCGGCCATCAGGGAGCTCACCAGCAGGTCGGTCATGAAGCGGTGGCCCGAGGAGGAGGCCTGTCCCGGCTCCGAGGGCAGCAGCGACGTCAGGGTCTGGGCGCGTTCCGCAGCTGTTGGCAGCAGCACGCTCCAGCCATCCTGCAGGGCCTGTTGGGCGGCCACTTGGATGGTGCGCAGCACCTGACTGCCGCCCGCCAGGCTGAGGATGCGGCTCTTGAGGCTGCCCAGCAGCCGTCCGCCGCTGGCCAGACCCACGTGGCGCGGCTCCACGCCATTGGTGATCAGCGCGAGCAGCTGCAGCCGCACCAGATTGAGACAGGCAACGGCAATGCACTCGGACTCCTGGTTGGGCGTCTGCCGATTGTCCTGGCTGCTGCACATCCCCAGCAGCTGATCGAGCAGCCGGAATGTCGGCTCCCCGGGATCAATGACAAACGGAGAGCGCAGCGGCACACCCTGCCGTGTGCTCTGTGTCCAGATCAGGCTCTGGGAGGCGGTGCACGCCACACCGCTGGCCGGCAGCGTTGGCAGCGCCACCAGAATGGGGACCCGCAGCAGCGGCTCACTGGACACGGCGGAGGGACATATCTGCTGGCTGTCGTTGCGTCCCCAGCCGAACACCTCGCCGCAGCTGGAGAGGGCCAGGCAATGGGCCACGCCCACAGCCACATCGACAATTCGTTTGTGCTGCAAGGAAAGAAGGATCAAAATAATTTCATCATCACTTTACAGGGTTGCCCCTCTTTGCAAGAGTGCCCCCAATTGACTATCGATCACTTCGCACATCACTTGTGGTAAAACAATCGAAATTTGAATTTAAATTTAAATTGGGATTGCTTCTCACTCACCTGCAAACCGTTTATCAGTCTGGGTACACTGCACCATTGGGCACTCCGCTCCACCAACTGATGGCCCAGACAGCTGGCCTTGCCCCAGCTATACAGCTGCCCATCGGTGGTGAGGGCCAACGAGAATTGAGCGCCCGCAAAGACGCGTTGAACTTTGGGCAACGCTTCGACCAGCACCGGTGACATGGAGCCATTGAGATTGCCATTGCCCAGCTTGCCATAGTCGGCATCGCCCCACGCATACACATGACCCTCGGAGGTGAGGCACAAGGAATGAGCATCGCCACTGCCCAGGGCCACATCGATGATCTCGTGTTCGGTGAGGGCCATCACGACGGTGGGCAGCGGCTGGTCATCCGAGTTGCCATGCCCCAGCCGCGCGTACGTGCCCCTGCCCCAGGTGTACAGGTTGCCGCTGCACGTAATGGCTGCACTGTAGGAGCAGCCGCAGAACACAGCCTTCACGCAACGATCCAAAGTTGTGATTTTCGTGGGCACAGCCCGAGCGTGTGTGTCGCCATGTCCCAAGCGATGATCCTCGCCATTGCCCCACGAGTAAGCGTTGCCTGTTCAAGGACATAATTGGAATGAGAAAGGGAAAGGGAAAATGAAGGGTGGAGCAGCACTTACGATTAATGTCAATGGCCATGAAGTGACGACCCTCGCAGTGTGAGGCAATGCTGACAATTGTCTCGTGCGCAATCTCCTCCAGCAGCTGGGGCTCCGTTTCGGGCTTGAACATGCGCCAGCTGTACAGCTTCCCCTCCTCGCTGAGCATGAGGACAATGCTCTCGCTGCAGACGATTTGCTGCACCTGAAACTTGCAGTTGAGCAACGGCAGGGCTGCTGGATCGCTGCTCCAGCTCAGTGCTGGCTCCGCATTGAAGCCCTGCTGCTCCTTGGACAGGCTGGGCCAGCCCAGAGCATACACACGCTGCTGGGGCAGGGATGAGCTGCTGCTGCTGGCAGTGGCAGTGGCAGTGGCATTGCCAGTGTGGATGGGATAGTGTCCGCGCACGAGGCAGCGCGGCATCAGCGGCTGCACAAGACGATCCAAGTGTGAGATGATGACAACGGCCGCACGACGCAGATCCACAATGGCCGCACTGCTCTTGGGCAGCATGAGGAAGCGCAGAAAGGTCTCGGTGGCGCTCACCACCGGCAAGGACAACGATTCGCCGCCATGGGGCAAGCCGCCAGCCTTGGAGGAGGTGTGTCCAATCCGCTGGTAACGCTGCAGAATGCGCAGCAATGGAGCACCCGTCTTGCGGGGCATGTCCCGGTTGTCGTTGCCCGCCTTGTCCTTCTCCCAGAGCACCAGCAGCAGCACCACACACTCCAGCGTGGCGGCCAGGGTGCCCTTCTGCACGCCCAGCTCCAGCAGCAGACAGAGCGCCGTGTGGCGATCGTTGAGCGGCGCTGTGCAGCGCCCACCCATCGGATCCCCGAGCGCCACCAGGCGCAGGAACTTGATGGAACGCTCCATCACCTCCAGCCACAGCGGCGACACCTCGGCCGCCTCGAACAGCGTCGCCTCGGGCAGCTCCTGCAGCGACTCCAGCGCCTCGCTCAACAGCTCGCTGCACATCTCCGTGTCCTCGCCCGAGCGCCAGGCGCGACGCAGGAACGCGAAACTAAAGTTGAGCGCTGCTCGAGTGGCCACTCGTGCCAGTCCCAATGCGGCATGAGCCGGCTGTTCCGCCTCCTGGCTGGTTGGATCCAACATGGGCACATCCAAGCTGCCAGCAGCAGCAGCAGCAGCAGCTCCACCAGCTGCTTGGATCGTTGTTGTCGTCGTTGTGGTTGTGGCTGCTGCTTGGCTACTGGTCTGCTGGCGATGCCGCTTCAGGGCCACGTAGTAGCGTTCGTAGATGAAGAGCTGCTGCCGCAGATGCTGCGCGGAGAGGCAGTTGCCGGCTGCGCGCAGTGCCAGCTCCTGCAGCTCGGCGATCAGTGTGCGCTGGCAGTCCTGCTTGGCCGCCAGCGATGGTGGCTGGCTCCAGAGCCAGCTGCTGAGTATCAGATCGGTGGCCTGGCTGCCATGGGCGGCTGCCTGCTGGGCGGCGGCTGATGTCAGCTTCTTGATGGCCGTGTCCGAGTCCAGGGGCCGGCAGCTGTCGCAGTTGCAGGCGGACAGGGGGCCGCAGTACTCCGGCTGGCAGCAGGAGCACTTCAGTTGCTGGGCGCCGCAGTAGTGTTTGCCATCGTCGCCCAGGTACGACAGTTGGCCGCGTGCATTCACCAGGGGGGCCGAGGGCGAGGAGACCAGTTCACAGTCCTGGATCAAGTGATTCCACAGCACTGCGCCCTCGGAGGCGTTGCGCAGGGACGAAATGAGATCGGCGCGCAGCCATTTCGCATCCAAATAGGGCAATGGACGCAGATAGAGATCGGGTGAGGGTGAGGGTGTGGCGTTAGCGGCTGTGCTGCCAGAGCCCGAGCCAGAACCCGAGACATGGGCATGTGATGGTCCCGGGCCAGAGGCAGAGCCAGTGCCTGACCCTAAGCCTAAGCCTGTGCCCAGTGCCTGTCCGGTGGATGTTGTGCCACTGCCCTGACGGTTAAACATTTTTCAAGTCCTTCGCTTGAGTCTTCTTCTCCTTCTTCTTCTTCTTCTTCTTCGCTGTGTCCTTTAGTTTTCCTCGGCTACACCCACACCCACAACAACAGCGTTTTCATGGCACATTTTCATTTTTCCTTGTGCGCTGTAAGGAGTGGTGGGAGGAGGCGCAGGAGGAGGCTCTGCCGCTGCCGCTGCCGCTGCCAATGTCGTCACTCACACACAGGCAACGCTCCTCGCACACACACGCACGCGACTCGACACACACGCACACACGCACACACGCAACTGCAGTCACAAATGTTGACCCGAGAATGAATCGCAGTTTTTCTTCGCCAATTTGCACTTGTCTATTGGATTTCTAGGCTAAAAACTATGCTAGTATGGCACGCCCACGTTTCACTGACTCGAACGTGCCTTCGGCTTAAACAACAGGCGAGCCCACTTTTGTTAATTGCACTACAAAAATAAATGTAATGTAATGTTTTTAAATGCGCTTATTAATAGCAGTGTGGCCGCGGAATTATCGATTCAATATACCTCAAAGTCGCCAAAAATATATACCTAAATATACCTACTCATTTAAGAATATACCGTAAATATACCGTAATCTTGAATCTTATTCCTCGATTTTTATGTTCTATTTGAAATTACTAGTTAGTTATTAGTCTTAGCGATGAGACTAAAATTTTATACAATTTAGCAATCAATTTTCCATAAAATTGACTAGTTTTTACGACTTCCTTTCTTCGGAATGTTTCCAAATTAAGTTTAAACCTAAAAAGGTCAACCAACCAAATTAGTATAAAAGTTATGTGAGTGAGAAAGGAATGTTACTTGTTGGAATTGTTTGTTGCTTGTCAACTGGTAGGTATAGTATAGCAATATTAATATTCCGTTTTCCCACCTGCTTTTAAACGTTAATAATTACTTTATCCTATACTGACATGCTGTTAAGATTTTTATATGTTTTATATGTGTATTAAATATACTCCAATGCTTGGTCACACTATTTGCAGATATTAGGAGAAGTTTATTTTATTTTCTAGCCATATTTTCGGTCTTTCCGGGCGATTTCAGAAGACTGTAATGCCATCTATTGACTATTAGTAAGCCACAACCCACACCACACACCATGACGTCTCGCAATCTGACGGAGGTGTTCGTTATTATGCGCAACAATGCCTCAAAAAATCGAAATCACTACGATGACCGCGTAAGTAAATCCCATAATAATGGACAAAGACATCAAAAATAATTGATAAAATCATAATTACAGCGAGGCAGCGATGCCGAGCGCCTGCTCAAGCATTCGGTGCGCGAGGCGGAGGAGGGACTCGAGATGCAGGACGACTATGGAACGCCACCCGCCTGGCTGGACAAGTTCGAGGAGGCACAATACACCATGTCCAAGTGGGTGACGAACTTATGCACCTGCTTATCCAAACAGCTGCCCAGCAGCATCTCACATTCCACTTTCGAACAGAATCAAACCAAAGCTGGACGAGCTGGGCTCCCTGCATGCGCGGCACCTGCTGCGCCCGACCTTCGACGATCAGCGGGACGACGAGTGCGACATCGAGGTGCTCAGCCAGATTGTGTGCAAGCTGATCACATCCACCCATCGGCACATACAGTGCGTCCGCTCCAGCCTCGGCGTGGGCACCAAAACGGAGCAGCGACTCACCTCCAATGCCGTGCACTGCGCCCTGCTGCAGCTGCAGGAGTTGACCTTCAAGTTCCGCAGCAGCCAAAACGCCTACCTGGTGCAGCTGAACTCGCGCGAGGAGCGCTCCCAGAAGTACTTTGACAACGGCGACAACTTCACCAATGTCGAGTTGGGCATGGGTCTGCCAGGCGGCGACACTGGCAGCGAGGCCATCAACTTTGTCGACTCCTTCGACAACTTCCTGCAGCCGGTGACTGGTAATGGCAAGGGCAATGCGTATCTGTTCGAGGACGATGACCAGGAGATAGACGATCACTTCAAGAAGCCGCTGGCCGCCAACCGCATGACCCAGCAGCAGCTGCTGCTCTTCGAGGAGGAGAACTCCAAGCTGGCCGAGCATCGCGAGCAGGAGGTGACCAAAATTGTCAAATCCATCAACGATCTCAATGACATCTTCAAGGATCTGGGCCACATGGTGCAGGAGCAGGGCACCGTTCTCGATCGCATCGACTACAATGTCGAGCAGACACAGACGCGCGTCTCCGAGGGCCTGCGACAGCTGCACAAGGCCGAAATGTATCAGCGCAAGAATCGCAAAATGTGCATCATTCTGGTGCTGGCAGCCATCACATTTTTCATGCTGCTGCTGCTGATTTTTACCAAGCTTTAAGTCCATTCCAGTCGTGCGTATCCAGCCTCTCCTCCCTCTTTTCGGTCGTTTGTGGTGTACAGTGTAAAAGGCTTCGATACATGTTATGTTTATTTAATTTATTAACTAAAGTTAAGAGCAAAGTTTTTTCCATTTCATTGAAAATAACCAGAGGAAAAAAAACACCTAAATACACAGTACACACCTCTACGGGGGTTTGGGGGGATCACAGCCAGAGGGACGACCGTTCTACATGCGCTCGGAGAGGCGCGAGGCCACGGAACGCAGATTGCCATAGACCTTGCTGGGCGGCGAGCCAAGGATCAGGTTGCAGATGGCACGACGCGCCAGCTGAATGTTTTGGTAGCTGCCCAGAATGTGAATCTTGCTGTCGGCGAGCACAATGCGGGTCTTGGTCACGTTCTCGATGGTGAATTTTGTGCGGCCACCCTTGCCGGCCAGACGGCCGATGGCGCGCGATTGATGGTCGCCGCGCAGCGTCTTCACGTCCTTGATCTCGAATGTCTCGACAAAGAGATCCTCCAGACGCAGCAGTGCCAGGGCATCGTCCACCTCGAAGCCGCAGAGGAAGGCCTTCACGAAATCGGCGCCCTTCTGCAGGTTGGCTATGTCCGGCGTCTCCGGGCCGACGCGCAACTCCACCTGGCGCGCCTTCATGTTGAAGCGAATCTGCAGCTTCATGTGCTCCACCACGGGCGTAAAGATCTTCATCCAGTGCTCCTTGAGCGAGGAGTATCTGTGCGGCGGCACCGACACTTTTCTCAGCTCGCTCTTGATCCGCTTCGCGCGAGGTGGGGCCGATGCTTGGGTCGTTCCAGCGACGAGACCCTCGATGCCTGTTGCTTCGTCCACCTGCATCTGCGTGTCCTGGGTGTTGGCCGCACTGCGCTTCTGTGCCTTCTTGGCCGGCACAAAGGCGTCCACCTTAATGTTTTCCACCTCCATTATGTTTATTATCGGGTTTCTTTCGAATTAATTGCGTTGTTTTCCAAATTTTGTTCCACGTGCGGTAGTGTTCAGTGTGACCGCGGAATTATCGATTCAATATCCCGCATGACCCTCGGAAATATACCCTTGCATCTTAAAAATATACCGTAAATCTTAAATCACTTTCCTCGAGTTGTATGTTCTATTTGATTTTACTAGCTAGTTAGAACCCTCTTTACTTGACATATATACTATACTATTACCCCATTGATGAAAAAATTCTCTACAAGATAAAATGAACTGATTTTTGAATTGGGGTTTTAGTTTTCGTATATTTTGTATTGTTATATATTAGTAGCGCTGCCAACTTGTTGGTAGATTAGTGGCAAAAATGAGTGCCAAATCTGCTTGGGTGTCCTTGCAGCCAGCTTTTGACCTTGTGCAGTCGATTAGTATCGATATTTTTATTGACTGTGGGCGCGTACTTTAAATTGGTTACGTCCTCTGCTGACTACCTGTGTCCCAAGGCAAATTCTCAGCATCTGGTGGTCAGCAGAATGCCATTAAATGGTGGTGCAAAAGTTTTAATTTTAATTGTGGTCAGCGGCGGTTGGCCTTCTTGCTTATCATTAAAAGTTTCTTTGGCAAACAATGGAAATTATTTCTACATCAGCCGCACGCGATAAGCACACGAAAGTGGGCACGGCACGGCCCCCCGCTAGGCTCTTGAAACTATAGTCAAGTTAGGGTTAAGTTGTGTAAAGTTAAGAACGATTCTTGGGACTGGGCCTGGGCCTGGGCCTGGCGATAATCTCAAGTTTGCAATTGCACTGGCAATTTGTTTGTTATCTCGCTTTTACGTATAGACTTACACTGCCCTCGCTCTCTCTCTGTCGCTCGCTCTCTCCCATCGCTATCTCTCTCTCTCTCTCTCTCTCTGTCTCGCTGGAGTTCTTGCGGTAAAGTTTACCCTCTGCCATGAGCTATGGCATTTGCATAGGCAGAGGATCGCTCCGCTTGGTCGGGGCGGGGGCCGCGCCTTGATATGAGTGGAAATTGCGTTGGCCTTCCATTTGGCATGCACTCATTTTGGTTATCTGCTCGGGCACTTAATAAACTTCACTTAATGACTCTCGAAACATTCGCCTTGGAATCGCTTTGCTTCAAAATTCGCCTAAAAGCGCACTCTCTCTCTCTCTATCCCACTCACTCGACCTACCAAAGATGATAAGCTTCGTCCGTCTCTTCCTCTCTTTGGACGCACTTTGGCAGGGCGGCCACGTTGTCATTGGCAGCAGCGGAAGCGAAGCAGCGCAGCGGGAGAGGATAGCAGGCAGGCTGGCAGCACTTTGAAACTGACAAAAAAGAGGCAAAACGAAAACGAGAAATCCGCGTAAAAGCGCTTCAAAGGTTTTCGGGGTCGACCGACTGCAACAAAGTTATAATTAGTTGGGGTTAGGTTTTTGGTCTACGTTTCGGGCTCCACCAAGCAACGCCTGGCACGCATGCCCTGGTGCGGGGCGGCGAATATATTTCATGATTAGACCACAGCACGAAAAAAAAGCTCCCTACATCCCTACATCCCTGTGTTTTTCGACAAAAAAAAAGAACCGCAATAATAATGCTGTGGCTGCTCTTCTGCTTTGCTTTGACGAAAGAGAGCACACACGCTCATTCTTACGCTTGCTCTCTTCCAGTGTGCCGCTGGAAAGAGAGAGTATACGAACATAGCGGCACTTGTGGCCATTCTTTGTGTTGCTCTCTTAGATGTAACGACTTTATTTATCTTAGCAGAAGAGAGAGAGAGAGATCAGCTCCTCTCTGTGCACTCCCTTCTTGTCAATACACGAAATAAGGATCATCGCACAGTTTCTCGTTGAGGACACAAAAGCGCGGGGCCACAGCCTCCGCCTGGATGCCACGGTCGAGCAGTCGCTCGCGATAGCGATAGAAGCGACGCTCTATGAGGACTGTCGATTCCACTGGATTTGCCCAGAGGCGCTCGGCAGCGGCGCCGGCACGTGGCCAGATGCGAGACTCCAAGGTGTTCTGATCGACGGACTCGGTCCACAGGCACACCTCGCCGCCCAGAACCAGCTGCGCCTCGGAAATATCCGGCATGTCGGCCTCGTAGACGGTGCGCCAGTTGTGGTACATGGTTTTAGCGTGCCCAAAGCCGTGGTCCAGGTACCAGAAATTGGCGTTGGAGACAATGATGCGGTAGCCCAGCTCCAGCAGTTTCCTGTTGAGGGAGTCGTGCGGGTCGACCCAGGTCTGGATGATGAACCGCTCCTTGGGCAGGTGGCGCTCGATTGTGTCCGGATTGGTCAGTAGACTGGACCACAGAATGACCGGCTTGGGCTCTGGTATGTCGGGATGCTCGCTCCGATTGATCTCGTCCCAGGCCAACAGATTGCGCCGATGGAACTGCGCCCAGAGGTGCAGGAAACTCTTCTCGCTGAGGTTGTAGCCCTGCGACAGCATCTTCTCCTGGATCTGCATGGAGCTGTTCCAGCACGACAGCTGCACCTCGTCGCCGCCCATGTGCACGGTCTCCTCCGGTGCTCCCATCTCGGCCACCTGGCGGAAGATTGCCTTCAGCACCGCGTACACGTTGTCGTTCATGGGATTCAGTTGGCCGCACGGCGGAGAGGCGCAGGGGGATTCCCAGGGCGAGCGCTGCAGGCAGACGGACAGCTCGCCCAGTCCCTCGTCGGGTCCCCACTGCCAGCCGCTGTTCGTGTGCGAGGGCCCATCGATCTCCACGATGATGCGAATGCCCCTGAGGCGGGCGTACTTCATCAGCTCGACGACCTGCTTGCGGGAGTAGGTCTGGGCGCTCGAGTAGGCGCCGTACAGCTGCATCTGTGGCACTCGGGTGATCTCCAGCGGGAAGCTGTGCGCGTCCACCACATGCCAGTGGAGCACATTCATCTTGGAGGCGGCCATGCCATCGAGCGTCCGCCGCACATGCTGCAGCGGCATGAAGTGGCGCGCTGTGTCCAGCAGCAGGCCGCGATGCGGGTAGCACGGACGATCCGAGATGAGGACATTGCTGACCAGCAGCAGGCCACGGGTCACGCTGCCCGTCACCAGATTGCTGAGCGTCTCGAAGGCATGCCTCGCGCCGTACACCGTAGTCGCCTGAATGTGCACCACGGTGCCATTGCCCAGCGTTGAGTTGATGGCCAACTTGTAGTTCTCGTGCGTGCGCCAGTCGAGCACCAGACTCCCGCTGATCACCGTCGCCAGCACCACGATCCGAGCGCTGCTTGCCACAGTGCAGTCGCGGGCGCACTCCCTGAGCAGATTTGCCACGAACAGCCGCCGGGTCTCGTGCAGGAACTGCGTGGCTGCCTCGCTGGGCGCCTCCACACTGAACTGCATCTCCTGGGGATCAAAGTGCACGCGACTGTGCGACAAACTGATGCCTGGACCGGTTGGCATTGGCCACACGGCGCCGTACTTGCCACACGACAGCCGGCAGTCGCGCTGGCTCTCAAAGCGCGCCACCCTGTACTTTTCCCCTTGCAACTTCCTATTCTCCGGCGTGCACACAGTTGACCGGCTGCACAGCCATTTTGTGCCGCCAGCAGCGTTAAGCACTAGCAAAATCCAAATAATTATCAGCCACTTCATTGTGTAAAAGTAACGTCCGAAAAAGTGGTAGTAAAAACGTTGCAAAGTTAAAAGATAATTTGATATCCCGAAAGAACAATTTTGAGATTTCAATAGCCGTTTCTTGAAAATATTTTAACTTAGTTTAAATGGATAAATATATGTATAAAGATCCTATATAGCAAGGCCTACTGTCTGCTCGATTTGGCCCAAACTGCACGGAAATTAGGGCCGCACAAAAAAGTTGCCCAAAGTGGAGTCATTTATTGAGAGTTTCTTCTTCCATTGCAAAAAGATTTAAGAGTCGTCTTCCAAAAAAATAACCAATATAAAATCAAAATTGTATTTACTATTTCCTCGCTTGATTGAGGTGTCGTTGTCCTTCCACCCCTGTCTTGCGACACAACCTGCTGGGGCAAGGCAAATGTAAAATATTTATTGTCTTGTTTTTCACTCTCAAGCAGTGCCGCTGCAGTGGGGCAAGGATGAGTACACAAACTAAAACCAAAATGATTATCTACCAAAACTCTTGCCATACTATTATTTTAATAAAGTAAATTTGTACACTTGTAAATTTACATTTTTAGCACTGCTCACAATATTCTTGCTGCCACTGTGCACTGTGGGGAAGGGCAGGCAGTGAGTAAGCATGTGTTGCAGCTAGCAGCCACTCGCATGTACTCACATGTACTCTCTTCCCTCTTTGTTTTGCGGTGTTTTGGGTGCGGGGCGGGTGGGTTTCCAGATTCATCCAATTCTGAGACTGAGCCTGAGACTGAGCCTGAGCCTGAGCCATGTGTTTTGCAGGTTGTACAAAATGCCGCAACATTTTATTACGGTTAAGCATGCATTCATTATGTCTACTTGTAGCTCCGCCTGCGCTGCTCTCTGTCCCCTCTGGTCCACACAGAGACAAATGAGTGGCAGGAGAGACAGGCAGAACTTTAGCTGGAGTGGAGGAGTGTGGGAGTAAAGGAGAGCGAAATGTGTACGTGCTGTGCAAATCAGTCTTGTCCGCACCGTCCAGCTCATTTGGTGCTCGACTAATCGCAAATAACACACATCGATTACAGCAACAATCCTCGGAAGACGTTGCCGGGAAGCATGAGGGAGAGAGAGAGAGAGCGGTGGCGAAAGCCAAGACTGGAACAGAAACAGAAACAATTAGCACGAACCCGGACATAATTGGCGTGCAGTTACAGAGGCTGATTAAAGAAGCAATCATAAAATTAAGACCCATAATCCCGTGCAATTTGGACAAACACACGCAAACGGAATGGAATGGAACTAGAACTAGGACTGTATAACTGTTGTTGGCCTGTTGTTGGAATGGGGAATGTAGCCTGAGCTGCCCACGAACGAACAAAGTGCTGCAGAAGAAAGAGAATTCGAATACGAAGCCAGCCAGCCCCAGTGGAAGGAAGAAAGCTAATAACCAAAGCCAGCAAAAGCAGCGTAAGCAGCAGCAGCAGCAGCAGCAGCAGCAGCAGCGGCAGCGGGCAGTGGGAAAAGTAGTAGAGGGAACGAACACACAAAAATCACTTTACACGCTCCAAATACAAAACAAGCATTACAGTTATATATCAATATACAGACTGTGGCAATGCCCACTAAATTACAAAGTGAGTAAAGTATATCACAAGAGAGAAGAGGAGGAGAGTATAAGCGGTGAGCACCATGCACTCACAGTTACAACTCGCTCTCTCTCTCTCTCTCTTGGCGCTCAGGTAGATAAAAGCTAAAAAGAGATGGAAATCACCTTTTGCTTGTTGTTTTCGTTGTGCTGTGGTGAAGATGTCACTCTATTCGCCTTGATCCCCAGCTTATATTCTTATTATGCTTGCTGCATGAAATCTCTTGATGGTAATATACCCTTGAACTCTGCCAGCGCTGGGTACTAAAGGGAATGTGTGTCTGTGCGTGCGGCTGCGTGTGCGTGCGTCTGGACTGCATTCCGTTAAGGGGAAAGCAAAGTGAACTGAAGAGGCGTGAGGAAGAGAAGTTGAGCTTCTGGTACGTGCGGCGATTTGTGTGCTCGAGGTAGTGGCAGTGCCAGTGGCGAGGTACAGCAGCAGGGAGCTGGAACAACACAAGAGCAATATGAAACCTTCATTAGCGAGAGGCAGTGGGCAGGATGAATAGAATGGAATGGGTAAGCCTGAGAGCAGGGCACTACGAGCATTGCACTCGTCCCCGCCCCAGGCCACATCGGATTGAAAATGCTTCCGGCCATACAAATTGTACGTGAAACGTGAGAAATTAATTTTCAAGGTGGCCACGCAGCAGCAGCAGCATCAGCGTCAAAGCCCTGGCCGCACCTCCCCCCGACACCCCATTAGACAAATTACCTGTGAGGCGCCCCCCAAGGTGGCTGACCAGGAATTGCCTAACTTTTAGCCTAGACGTCGAAACCGGATCGGAAACCAAGAAGTTTATCAGTCTGCTGGGGCTCACTGGCTGTGGAACCGAAAACGGAACCCCAATGATGGAACCTCAGGGAGGGTTGGGGCACAGACGGACCCCGCTCTCTCTCTCTCTCTCTCTCTCGATATGTCTATGTATGCAAAGCAATGTCAAAATTCAATTTAATGCTGCCGTAACGAAAATCTGTCAGCTTGCAGCACAAATAATGTCAAAGCCAAGCGCACACACACACACACACACAGACACAGACAGGGGATAGAAAAGGAGTTGGAGACAGCCACAAAGTGACGCTCACACACACACAGAGAGAGAGAGAGTGAGAGAGGACATATGTGACAAGACACACACAAAAGCCAAAGCAGGATGCTTGCGTCTGTCAGCGGCAATTGTGGCTGATTTTCGCTTTTTATACCTCATCCAAGGGGTACTCCCATTTGGTCAGGCTGTACGCATTGCCGCCCACCACTGATCCTTTCAGTTAGCGGAGCTCTCTGTCTGTATTTCGGTGTCAAGAAGCTGCAAAATCGAAACAAGTAAAGTGTATTTAATGTACGGCTTTGCGCGCTTTTCATTCTTTCGTTTTCTTAAATGGGACAGGAAGAGAAATAGTGTGTGCGGGAGTGGGAGTGGGAGCGCAGTGATAAACGAAGGAGCAGGAGGAGCAGGAGGGAAGTGTCACACATTGCATAACATTCCAAAGCATTTGATAAACGGCGACGCTTGCCAGTACGAGTTCGAGTACGAGCATGTGTCCTGTGTCCTTTGAGTGTCCGTGTGCGGGGCATTGTTGAAAGGGTCGTCCTTTGGCGCAGTTCGAATCTGTTGCCACTGCGACTGTGACATTGACAAGTCAGACAATTTCTCAAAAGATGCATTCACGCAGGGCAAGCGGGCAACAAAAAATTAAGCAGAGAAATGGCACTGGAATGGAGTGTACAACCGCCTGCCCACCTGCCTGCCAGCCTGCGGTCTGGAGCGCTACACTTGACTCCAGCAGTGGCATACACCTGCCTCTGAGTCGCAGGAGTCTCCATTCGCTATGGCAGCTGTCAGCTTTGGCTTTGGGCTGCCCCGCGGCTGGCCCAACGCTGCTTAATGGTGGCTCAATGCTGGCTTAATGCTGGATATGACTCGCGCGACTCACAATTGTTTTGATTCGCAACAATTGCATTTGGCAGGCGTAAGCTTTGAAGTTTCGAGAGCCGAATGGACTTCAGGCACTGCCTTAAATTTATAAATTTAAATTTAAACCAAAAAAATATGTTGGGAAGCAAGCGAAAAAGCTACAAGCGACTGGCTTGAAGTGTTTGCATGTTTTGCTCCATCTACTTCATAAATTAATACATACATAAAAATATACATAAATACATATACAAACATGTATCTGCATGTCTCACTTTTAATTGAGCCAAACAGGCGCGAGGTGTAGCAGCGTGCTTAATTCCGTGTGCCGTTTATCCGGCTGGTTTTTGGCGAGACCTCCTCCCGCCCGCCCGGAATCCGAGTGTTTTGACTTTGTCGAATTAGCCATTGTGATAACATTTATGCGCCGCTCTGCTGGTGGTGCTTCATCGCACTTAATTGGGCAAACGATTGCCTGACTTGCTTACAAATGTGCCTCTAACGTCGGCAGGGCCCAAACAGGCAGCCCTTCCATGTGTGCCACACGACAAACACCAAAAAAAAGTGAAACTCAAACAAGCGGCACGCACTTGATGCGGAGGAGGCGAACACCGACCCACGCACGTATTGAGAATGTGTGTGTGTGTGTGTGGGAGAGTGTGTGAATATTGCATGCGATAAATTATTTTAAAGCGTTAACCTCCCACACCGCACACAGGGAGCAGCCAACGAGCAGACATCTATTTAATATACCGCAACGCATCAGTTTTAATATTGTTGCGATTTTATTTACGCGCATGAAAATTTATAAACGTTTATGACATGTCAAGCAGCATTGTGACTCCACCTCCACCGCACGTTGCGCTCTCTCACTCTCGCAATTTCTCCCCCATTCTCTTTGCACGCTGCGTGCAGAATCTTTACTGTAATATTACCCTCTAAACGTGCAGCAAAACGGAAATACTCGAGACAACGATAACTGAATTCTGCCATTAACTTTGTAAAGTCATAGATATAAATATATGCCATAACGAATAAATGCTAAGAGAATTACAATTATATCTACAATATTTGAAGCTATTATTTAGTCTTTATGCGAGTACTACAGGATTTACATGCATTTAAATATGTGCTGGGTATCCCAATTGTCGGTACTGTACGGCCTGAACTTGCTGTACGTTATTTCGACTCTTTCATGTAAATGTTATTATTATTATTGTTATTATTATTGCTCTAGTTGTTGTTGCCCTTTAATTTTGGGTACGTTTGGGTGCGAGAAGGAGAACTGGAAGAGGCAAAAGCGAAAGGAATATGACAACTACTCAAATACAATTTATTGTTTCTGATTTTCTTTAGTCTTTATTGTTACGCAAATTTATTATGTATTTATTAATTTGTTTTGCTGTGGTTTTTACACACACCCCGATACATCCCCACCCACACACACACCTACATATATCAATGGATAGTCGACAGGCAGGTTAAACATTTTCGTTTGATTTGTTATCAGGGCTGGCATCGTTTGGTTCTANTGTTTTTTCTCTGTACTGCAGTGGCGTGCACACTAAGC